AGGCATGAAAAGCATACGTGTAACCCGTGAAGACAGGTCACTTTGAACGAGATGACAACAGAATATGTATATGGGAAATATTATTATTAGGACATGAACTGCACTGAAACTCTTTAGAGTTAATGGTCCTACCACTTACAGGTTTTTACACCAACAACGTTGAAATTTCAGTTTCTCTTGTATATACCAGTTTGGTTGTAGTGAGTCTCCTAGCCTTTAGGCGTTCCTGTATGCCTGTTCTGCTCTCAAGCCGTCTACAGATGTTGCTACTCTGCTTACTTATTCTGCTTCTTTAATTCTTAAAACATCCGAATTGTTATTCCCCTTTTCATAACTTTGTTCCCAACTCAGACTACTACACCTATGCAGGACGCCACGAATGGGGTCTCTGAACTCATTAAAATGATGGATTTTGTTATCGCTCTGAAAATGGAAATTGGGATGAAGAAAATATTTTGCAGTTTTTCGCTATGTCTTCAAAATACGTGCGTATTTTCACCATCTTAAACTAAAAACCAAAAAGCAGGTATTAAATTTTACGCCCTACAGGGTCTATCGTATTTTTTTTTTTACAAAATTAACTCTTTCTTCAGTTAGTAAAATATTATGTAAAAATTTTTTATTTCACCTTGTTATACTTAATTGCCCACGCAGGGTATAATGTTTGCTGGTTTACTTGTATTTCAGAATGTTACGTTACTTCTGCGTCGCACAGGTCAAATGAAAGCTTATGTCTTTTAATTCCTGAAAGTTCTCATCAAATGTTGCAGAATCAAGGCTTTCTACTACTCACTCACTCACTCACTCACTCACTCACTCACTCACTCACGGAGCTGGGCCATTCTTGAGAAGCCGCTAACTGTGCAGCTACACAAGAACTTTTATGGATCCCGAAGTTTCGTTACCGTGTTCCACTGGTCCCTATCCTGAGCCAGATCGATCAAGTCCATACCACCCCATCCTATCTCTCTAAGATCCATTTTAACATTGTCCACCCACCTACGTCTTGGTCTTCTTACTAATCTGTTTCTTTCTGGCTTTACTACTAATATCCTATATTATTTTCTCTTCGCCCCCATTCATGCTACATGCCCTGTCCCATCTTATCCTCCTTCACTTGATCATTCTAATTATACTTGGAGAAGAGTACAAATTATGGAGCTCCTCATTATGCAGTTTTCTCAAACCTCGCGTCACTTCATCTCTCTTCGGTCAAAATATTCTCCTCAACACCATGTTCTCAAACACCCTCAGTCTATGTCCCTCCCTTAATATCAGAGACTACTTTTCATACCAATACAGAACCACAGGCAAAATTATGGTTTTATATATTCTAATTTTTATGTTTTTGGACAGCAGACGAGAAGACAAAAGGTTCTGGACTGAATGGTAGCAAACATTACGCGAATTCAATCTCCTCTTAATTTCCTCCTGAATCAGGTTTCGATCTGTTGTCGTTGTTCCCAAATATCTGAACAGTGCCGCATTTTCAAAACATCTGTTTCCTATCTTTATGTCATGATTTTTCCCTGCATTCTGGTGACGAGACAGCAACATATACTCAGTTTTCTCAGTGTTTACTTCTAGACCAGCCTCCCTACTTGCGTCGATTAAAGTTCATGTGTTTTTCTTTACGATATCTACGTTATCACCCAGTAGATTCATATCATCAGCATAGACCAACAGCTGATATGTCCCATTTAATTTCAATCCTACCTGGTTTTCCTAGAGTTTTCTAATAGAATATTCAGAAGCAAAGTTGAAAAGCAGTGGCGATAAAGCATCTCTTTGTTTTAGACAATTCTGGACAGGAAAATTATCAGACAAATATTTATCTATACGGACTTTAATATACGTTTCATTTAAACACATTTTAATTAGCCTAGCAAGTTTCATATGTACCCCTCACTCTATTATATTTATATTATACTGTTATAGAATAATATTATTCCCTCTTCGTCACGTCGATTTCGACTTACGTTAGAAAGAAAGAGATGTCAGATCATTGTACCATTTACCACAGGGGGCTAGTAAGTTTAACAAGGCAGAATTAATTAATGCACCCAAGAATTTCGAAAATATGTCACTCATTACGTGGTCCGAGCCAAAAGGAAGACAGCAGGTGGTATCGTCATCAGAGGAGGAACCAAAGTGCAAAATATTCCTTGTGTGTACATATTTTCATGTAACTGTCATTACGAATGCTGTTCATTGTACGAAGACAATGCACTTACCATAAACAGGCACTCTTTTACGGATGAAACTGTTGTCAGAAATATTTTTCGACCTACAGAATTGTCAGGAATGTGTTTACCGAGCCGTTGCCCAGAAGTGAACGTGTATTCTGACTTCACTTTTCCGGCTTTCGGGTGTCATGTCACAATACGTATTTCAGAGTATGATACGTCATATCTTGAGTAGGCGACTTAGTTGAAGTAGAGTCCTGTGCTTTCAACGAGATTTCTGTCACGGCAACTTCCCTTTATACTCTTATCTTTCTGTTTACGTAAGGATACGATTGCCTGTCCCTTGGTGACACACCTCAGATACGTTTCAGACACATTTTAAGCTGGTCTGAGATATCAAGCTTATTGTATAAAGGCTTATACATAAATAAATAACCTTTTAATATAACCACATTTTAAAATTCAGTCTTTCCTCTAAACAATCTCATTCGAGTTGAATGCTTGTTCCTCTTTCCTTAGTACGAAATGGCTTCTTTCAAATTGCATATTCCATAACGAGTTTGATACTTGTCGGCTTGTTAATGGACCATATTTCACTTACAGGTTGGCTTCAACCTGCCGTTCTCTAGTATAATATAGAATTCTTTGAGACACACAGAATTTAATTTTTGATCTGTTGAATATTTATAGAAATGTTCTAAAAAGAAATTATTTCTGACTGAGAGTTATTTCCAGTGTCATCAACTCTGCATAAGAAATTTGTATCTCTGATATATTGGGTTTTTGGACTTTATCCATCGTCCTGGTTTTTAAGATAACTAATAAAAACACGACGTTTCGGAAACTACATCATCGTCAGAATCCTATAGTAACAATTTGTATCTTCTTATACTAGAGTATCACTACCAATGGTGATTTTCCTCAGACTCCGTACAAATACCATGAAAGTAGCTGAGATTATGTAACTATCTTTCCCTGATAAATAATTTCCAATTCATTTTTTGTTAAATATCCTATCATTCAACGCTATATACAGCTATATAGCTAAAAATCGAGGCCAGTACCATAGGCTGTCGAAGGTCACAAAAAAACTCGTTCTGAAAATATGTG